TTTCTTTTTTTTTTTTTTTTTTTTTTTTTTTTTTTTTCTTCCCCTTGTTAATGACAATGTAAAAATTTTTAACACAACAAAGCAAGCTTGTGAAGGAAAGTCATGATCAGCACAGCTTTTTTTCTGAGGAATTCAGATGTTTAACTTCATATAACTGGGAATAAATACAACACAGGCAGTAACATTTCCTCTGACTTAAAATATACTTCCACTATAATTATGGATTTGGAACATTAAAAATCTGTTTCATCATTTTGGGAGGAGCATTTTAAATTTAAATTTTAAAAATCAAGTGTTTGATAGTAGCTTTGTGACTTTGTAAGCCTGTGTACATTCTTTTATTAGGATTCTTCCAATCTCATTACCTTTCTTTTAAAAAGTTTTTGAAGGTAATATTTCTTGAGTGTTGCCAACTGAATATTACCCTCTAAGATCCTCATAAGATTGGGCTAATAGATAGAAGAAGACTTCAGCAGTTTGTTTTATAGTCTTATGAATGAATAATGGGTTTTGACATTTCAAATTGCTGGAGAAATATACAGTGCTGGAAAAAATCCATAAACATTACTAATTTCCCCTGATCTAAAAGTATCTCAGCAATTTAAGTACGTGAAGGCGTGGATATCTCAGCTATTACACTGACAGTCACTGTGATATCATACATTTCAGTATGATACAAATGTTGAATTGAGACAAGTTTTATTTGGATCAATTCCCTTTCTATGCCTTTATATTTCTGGTATCATAATAGATTTATTATAATATGCAGACACTATACAGTCAAGGTACTGTATAGACAATGGAGACCTTAACTGAAATTTAATGAAATACCTTTCTTCTTTTTTTTTCTTTTTTCTTTTTTTTTCAAGGCTTAATAATACACAGAACATATACAGTACCTATGTAATGGAAAACTGTGAAAACTGATAATTTTTAGTTCCTGTAAGGGACACATGAAAACAAACTTGGTATAACTTGTTTGGTCTTCAGCATGGCTGTACAAAGTGTAATTGAAATAGGTACAATACATTGAAATAATCAGCTTTATCCTGGGGCACTAGGTAGTCTTGGTATTAGATTGCTGAAGAAAAAAATGGTGCTTAATGTTCTTGACAGAGCCTTGAAAAGTGTCGACAAAGGTTTATTTTTCTTGTGGGAGATTTTTAATAGTGGAAACTACACTTGATTATTAAAAACATACACCAGAAACTATTGATCAGTTAAGTTTATGTAATTATTGACAATACAGTCATTGTTATCCTCATCTGTTCTATTGAGATAGTTAATTAGGTGAAAATTACACTGTTTGCACTAAAGATTCCTTATCATAGAATCATACACTCATAAGATCATAGAATGGTTTGGGTTGCAAGGGACATTCAAAGATCATCCACTTAAAGCAACTATGCCACTGGCAGGGACACCTTCCACTAGACCAGGTTGCTCAGCGCCCCATCCAACCTGGCCTTGATCACTGCCAGGGAGGGGGCAGCCACAACTTCCCTGTGATACGTGTTCCAGTGTCTCAGCATTGTCACAGTGAAGAATTTCTTCTTTATATCTAATCTAAATCTACCCTCTTTCAGTTTAAAACTGTTACCCCTTGTCCTATCATACACACCCTGACGAAGAGCCGCTCCCCATCTTTCCTGTAGGCTTCCTTTAAGTACCGGAAAGCCACTACAACATCCCCCCAGAGACTTCTTTTCTCTAGGCCAAACAACACCAACTCTCTCAGCTTATCCTACTGAGGGAGGTGCTCCAGCCCCCTGATCACCTTTGTGGCCTCTTCTGGACCCGCTCCTACAGGTCCATGTCCTTCTTATGCTGGGGGCCCCGGAGCTGGACACAGCACTGCAGGTGGGGTCTCATGAGAGCAGAGTAGAGGGGCAGAATCCCCTTCCTCGAACTGCTGGTCACGCTTCTCATGATGCAGCCCAGGACATGGCTGACTTTCTGGGCTGTGAGCGCACACTGATGGTTCATATTCAGTTTTGCATCCACTAATACCCCCAAGTCCTCCTCCGCAGGGCTATTCTCAATCCACTCATCACCAAGCCTGAATTTGTGCTTGGGATTGCCCTGACCCATGTGCAGGACCTTGCACTTGGCCTTGTTGAACTTGGTGAGGTTTGCACAGGCCCACCTCTCAAGCCTGTCAAGGATGTCCGGATGGCATCCCTTCCCTACAGCATGTCAACCCCGACACACAGCTTGGTGTCATCAGCAAACTTGCTGAGGATGCCTCAGTCCCACTGTCCATGTCTCCAACAAACATGTTAAACAGTACTGGCCCCAACACCCACCCTCAAAGAACACCACTCGTCACTGCTCTCCACTTGGACATCGAGCAGTTGACTGCAACTCTTGGAGTGCAACCATCCAGCCAATTCCTTATTCAACCATCAAATCCATGTCTCTCCAGTTTAGAGACAAGGATGTTGTGTGGGACACTGTCAAATGCTTTGCACAAGTCCAGGTAGATGATGTCAGTTGCTCTTCCCTTACCCACCAGTGCTGTAACCCCATCATAGAAGGCCACCAAATTTCTCAGGCATAATTTGCCCTTTGTGAAACCATGTTGACTGCCACCAGTCACTTCCTTATTTCCCATGTGCCCTAGCACAGTTTACGGGAGGATCTGCTCCATGATCTTGCCAGGCACAGAGGTGAGACTGACTGGTCTGCAGTTCCCTGGGCCTTCCTTTTCCCCCCTTTTTAAATGTGAGGGTTATGTTTCCCTTTTTCCAGTCAGCTGGAACTTCACTGGACTGCAAAAACTTCTCAGATGTGACGGGTAGTGGCTTAGCCACTTCATCCAACAGTTGCTTGAGATCCTGTGAATGCATCAGGTCCCATGGACTCGTGCAGCCCTCCTGTTGGTCTTACCTGACTTTCTTACTTATCCTGATCTTGGAGGAGGTGATTCTTAAAAACTAAACAAATTTCCTGAGCCATTCTTCCCTCCAGGTTTTTATTCCATGGTACTCCACCAAGTAGATCCCTTAAAAGGCCAAAGTCTGGTCTTGGAAAGTCCAGGGTAGTGAGCTTGCTGTGCATCCTCCTCAGTGCCCTAAGGATCTTAGACTTCACCATTTCATGGACAGTGCAGTCAAGGATGCCTTTGAGGTTCACACTCCCCACCTACCCCTGCTTTTTTGTGAGAACAAGGTTCAGCATAGCATATATAAACCTTATATAAATTTACTAAATAATGTATACATATAAAGATTGTACCGACAAGAAAAGTTGCATAACTAATTCTTATTTAACTGGTTGAAGTGCTAATAGGCCCAAGCCAGAGTTGACCTATAGCTGAATCCTGTATATTTTATAACTGATAACCATTGTGCTTACAGGTATTATACTAAGTTATAACAAACCACCTGTTCTGATGTAAAAGGTGGAAGTACTGAAGCCTGAACAACAGGCCCTGAGCCAAAGCTGTTAACTCACTTTATAATCATTAGTGAAATATGTATGGAAGATGTAGCTATTTTGAATGTATATTTATCTTTCTTTGTGTGTGGATAAAATAACAGGGTGGTGGAGACCGGTGTCTGTCACTGTGGCCTGATGTGAGACCTTGCGCATAATCCAATTAGAGAAGCAGAGGAACTCCCTGAGCTTCTCCCTTGAGCCCTGGCCAGGCTCTGGGGAATCTAATGTGAGAGTGAAACCAGATATTTCCACTTAAAACAAAGGTGCCAGCTCTTCTGGCTTGCTGATTTTGGGGTGTATAAGGCTGGACCCGCTCACAGTGACTTTGGAAGCCTCACCTATGGGTGGACGCACCGTGTGGGATTTCCCACCGGCTGGGATGGGCTCCCCAAACCCTCGCTGTAACCGGGGCTGCCCAGCCACTGCGGGTCTGGGTGATGGTAACGGATGCACGTGGTGAGGGATCTTTCTTAATCACTATTCTCTTTCTCAGGTAGTGATGATTTCATGCATTAGCCTGTATTTTCCTATTTGTTTAAGTGCAGTATTCTGTCTTTTCTTATTGTATGTTTTCTGTATTGTTCTGTTACATTATTTCACTCTGGTGTCTGAGTTTATTTGGTATCCCTAATCAGTAAAACACTGGTATAAATTATTCAGTATGTCTTTGTCTATGTTCATGGGTCTCCTAATGTCTTTCGTGTTAACTTTTCTCATAGCTACAAACACAGACTACTTGAATTTTGATTTTAAATTCATAATAAGCCCAAAAAAGGAACCATGAAAGGTGGGCATATCTGGCACTAAAATAGATAAAACTTACCACTTCTGTCATTTCCTTTTTAACCATTTCATCATCTATTTGTCATTCATACTATTTGCATGGTAACAGTCAGCAGAATGTTAACACTAGTTTATATGCTAGATATTAAAAAAGCAAAATAGGTTACGTTTTGCAGTACCATGAGTTACCTAGAAGCAGCAAATAGTTAAGAAGAGAGCTTTCAATGAAACTGTCCAGCATGCCAGCAGGGTAGTGGAGTCTTTTTAAAAAATGAAGTAAAACATGCAGAATTCAGTGATAAAGAAGCATTTATCCGTGAGACCTCGTTGTTGTTTACCTGCAAGTTTTATACAGATATTTTCAATATTTTCTCATAAATTCTATATCTAAACTATAAAAGTTATTACAATATAAATTTAATTTAAAAGGTCAGGTTTTATTGCTATTTTTATTTTATTTTTCTTGTACTTTATTTCTTGCAGATACTTTCATAATTCTGTATTTGCCACTAACCACAGTGAACTCATTTATATGTAATTACTTGTAATACACAAGTATTTATATGTCTGCTATATCTAGGTTTCTGGGAGGTTGTTCCTGCCTGCCAGAACTAACCTGCTCCAACTGCAAGAACACATTCATCAACTTGTGAGCATCATCAATTGAGGGAAGGTAAATGCAGATACATTTCTTTAGGTCACCTCTGCTGGCCTCCTAGCACTCTCCTTTCTCGGCAATTTAATAAAGCACCCAGTGGAACATCTTTTATTTTTTCTTTCTGTTTTGTGGAACATTCAAGTTTCTCAGTTTAGATTCATCAGTCAGATGAATTTTCTCTTCACATCTATTCTCTGAGTTCATTTTGTGGAATTTTACTTAGAACCAATGATTCATTGTAAAAAATTTCTGAATACACATTATTCAGAATGATCCATACTGCATAGCAGTGGCCTGAAATGTCACAGGGTATATTTCGACAATAAGTATGATCGTTGGACACAGTATTGATATATTTATATGAATATTAACCATTTCTTTGAATTTTAACATGCAACACATTATTTGTCTTCTGCAGATAATACCTATTACTGAACTTTGGAGATTATCTCTTTCTGAAAACAGGCACAAAAGACACTAAAATTGCCCAGTGCAAAAGACCTATTGAACTAACAATTGCTGTGAAGCATAGATTTCTCCACATTTAAGTTGGCATTTTAACAATTATATCACTACTTACTTCTAATAATTATGAGAACAGGTATTGGTTTTGGAGTTTATTCCAGCATAACATGCTTCAAACATTTTGGAGAAGTTTTGATCAGTTCTGTATAAACCACAGGAAGTCTTTTGTTGGTAGCTGAACACTACTCTTCTACAAAACTCAAGAAGGCAGAAGGCAACTGTACCCGATTCAGTCCACTTATAGCAGAAGTGAGAAAGGTGGGATTAAAAAGCTACTAACAAAGATGAGATAGTTTGTGACACTGTGACACAATAGCTTTGAAAGTATTTCTACACTGGAGCAAAGGAGAACATGAATATCACCTGATACAAGAGCATGACACATGTAGCTTAACTTCCTCATTGCTCTGGGATTTGAGCACAGTAGAGACCCCCAGTCCTCCAGAACAGCACCAGAATCCATGGGTCATTTGGTGAGTAAAAGAGACTTTGTAGCACTTTCAGAACTGTGAAAGCTCTATCCGAATACAGTTCAGACAGTGGTAAGAAAAACAGAGTTAACTGCCAGTGATTGTACATATTATAAAGAAGAAAACCTGAATTTTATTCACCAGCTGAACCAAATAGGCATGATCGGGACATGGTGAACAGGAGCAATGCAATCTGTGTCTCAGACAAGTAAACAGCATGTGATTAAAGGGATAGGAAAAAAGTTGTCAGATATGCTAAGCAACAAATGATGGCCTGAAAAGCATCACTGAAACAGGAATATGTGTTTACTTGTATTTTCTTCTTTCTGATGCATACAGATTGATACCAAAAGCTGAAACAGTGATAACTGAGAGACTCCACTTTTCCTAGCTGTTCTTTATAGTGCTGAAAAATCTTAGCAAATATTTTGTTTTGCAAAAGTAATTTTCTGGAATAATTTCAATACTTCAGTTATGTGGCTGCAGCAAGGCTATGAAGATCATTGATTATGCAGAACTTACAAGTAAAAAAAACTAAATGGGAGTTTAAAACTAGCAGGCAGAGATCGTGGATGAAAGAGATGAGAAGGCAGGAAAACTAAATCAATAATGGCTTACAATAAAAGTAATTTTAGCATATCCTTTGTAAACTCCTGGAAAAAAAATAGTTAAGTAAATGTATAAAAACTAATATGATATTAGAAGGGGCAGCACAGTCTAACAGTTGTTTAAAGCAGACAGAATAATGTGAAAAAAGGCATAATGTAAGCCATGGAAAACAGAGGTTTTGTAAATACTGTCTTTCAATGCTCCACATTTTTTTATATATGTTTTTTCTACATATGATACCTAGCTTGAGACCGTGATCTGCTATATGGAAATGAGAAAGCTCTGTCTTTTTCAAGTGTAAATGTTTCCTTTGAATTCTTCCATTTTAAATGGAGGTAGCAATGCTTCTAGTACATTAAAACAAGTGATTTCCCTTCATTTGTGGAAACTTTATGTGACAAGGGATAACCGATAATCTGAATACCAAATAAATTAGGATAGACTAGTTTTTATTATAAAAAAATACCACTATCATTCATCAGTCATATGAGTATGAAAGTGTTTGGAGAGATATGTCAGTTTATTTTTACTTAGTGAAACACAAGAGATGTGTAGAAATAGTATGAAATATTGAAATATGTCATCTTGTTATGCTCATCTAGACTCTCTTAGGTTTGTTTAAAACCTTCTGAACCAATACTTAGATCATATATTTCTTTTCAAGTAGAACTCTCTCTTGTATTATAAAAAGCATTTTTAATGTTATATCTCAAAAATAATATTTGATGCTTCTTTAGCATCATCATGCTTTGATATATATTTCGTTTACTTTCATATTCTATTCACAAAGATATCCCCATATACTATTTTTTGCATTTGATTTTTCATTCTTTGGAAAAGTATCTACTGAATTTAAGCCCGATTAGCTATGTTTCTGCATCAAGATCTTTTATTTTTAACATTTAACTCAAAAATATTGCATTTTTTCCCCCATTATATCATCTACAAAAATTTTGATAAATGTACAATCGTCATTCTGTCATCAGATTTGCCAATAGAATTAGAAGCAGGCTTAGGTCCCTACTTGGAATTCCCCCAACCATAATTCAAGGAAGACTGATTCATTCCCTAAAACCAACATTTCTTCATATTGCATCTCTAGGCCACATTCTCTTTATTTTAATAATTTTCAAAAACTTTGTGTCTGTTATTTCTAACCTACTCTTTTTATTTTTTTGTTAAGCCTCCTGTCCTGTCAAAGAAGGGTTTAAGGGAATCCATTCATGACAATATTTATACGGATTTTTTAAAGAATTTTTAGATACCAAAAAATTGATTCTTCAGTAATATGTATCATAGCCTTTTCAGTTATTGTTTTGGTGATGGTAGATATATTTTTCTGAAGAACTGCCCCTCTTTTATTCCAGTACCCTAACACAAATTTTGCATAAGCCACCAGTGGAGTACCTTTCACTTTTCTACATGTTCTTGAGCCTCATTTCCCTTACTCTAAATAGTACTATCTCTTTCTTTATCATTAATTTAGTTAATTATATACTTAATGTTTGATATTTTTTGTAAAACAACTTAAAGGCAGGAAGGCATTTATGATTCTTGTATTCTTGGATCATCGAGAATTTGTTTTTCTTCATTTTTGGACACTTCATCTTAAATTTCCTCTGACTTCCTTTTCCCTGTCATTAGAGCACTTTTTCATTGCTTTTTCTATTTCTTCATAACAAGAAATCATTATATCTTACCTTCTTGCTTTTATACCCATATGCATGTACCATTTCTTAAACCCATCTGTGGGCATGTGTTTCCCTTGCTGTTGTTATTTTTGAAATTCAGTGGAATAAAGATGTTCTGATGTACTCAGAAGTGCTTTTTTATGTTTCCTATGTACCTTTTCAGAATTTTTGTTGGGTATTTAAATTAACAATCTATGTTCACTCATCAGATCATTATTTGTAAAACTTTAATCCTTATTCTACAGTTCTCACAACCTCTTTTCCTGGAGAGAACAGGAAAATATCAATGGTTCCACATTACTCATATCTTTCATTTTCAGATTTTTCTGAATTTTCTTTTTCCCTTCACTAAAACAGCTGCTCTTTAAAAAAATTCTCCTTCTAGAAGAACTCATGGTCTACATATTTCATACATATTTCAAAATCTTAATGGACTATCTACATCACATTTTTCCAGCAGATATTTGGGGAGCCAAAGCATCTTTTGTTACTACAAAGTCATGGTTCTTAAAGTTTACTAGAAAGCATGAAAATCCTTAGTTATTTTATCTGCACCAGACCATGGCCATGATATTACTCCTACTGTTTTCCTCTTTCCCTGGAGAAATTCCAAAACCTGCCTTTCACCTCTTTCTGAACACAGAGAGGAAAAACAAAGTACCTACAAGATAAACTAAATAATATTCTGAAAGCATTAACACATTTGACAGTATAAACTTTGTTATAAAATTCAGTAACAGGTGGCATTTGATTCAAAATTTCTAAAGCCATGATCTCAGGTGATAGGTAACACTTGCCAAAAAAAGTAAGGTTAACAGACTCTTTCACACAACACAATACCAAGATTACTGAAAGCACGAAGGTCCAGTACTACAAAGCATTTTTCTGCTAAGTGGTCTTATCAAAACACTGTTTAACAGAAAATCAATGCAACCTTTCCAACAAACTAGCAGAAATGTTCTTAGTATGTTTGTTTCAAACAGGAGATGTTGCCGCTGTGTCTAGACTTCATTCATCCCAGAAAATTTGGGTTGAAATTACTGTTATATCATCATGAAAAAATATTTTCAAGTAGATATGCAGACCAGAAGTACAGGTCTACCATTGAAAGATCATTTTTAATCCAGATCATTTTCATCTGGTTTACAATATAACTTCAGAAGCAGTGAGAACACAATGGAACAGCTGAAGAATAAGCAGCAAGTAGACACAAATCTCTTAAATATACCTTCACCGAGCATATTAGTTTTACATGACAAGGTTTTGGTAGCAGAGGGAGGCTGCAGGGATGGCTTCTTTGAGAAGGCAACAGGAGACACATGGGGACAGAACCAGTTCAAGCTGGCCCCAAGACATACCCACTCCTGGCCAAAACAGTCCATCAGCAACATTGGTAGCTCCTCTGTTAAAACATATTTACGAAAGTATAAAAACTCCTGCAAAACAGCTATGAGAGACAAGCAAGAAAATGTGACAGAAACAGCACTGCAAACACAGACGTCAATGAAGGAGGAGGAGGAAGTGCTCCAAGCACCAGAGTAGAGATTCCCTTGCAGCCTGTGGTGAAGACCATGGTGAGGCAGGCTGTCCCCTGCAGCCCATGAAGGTCACCGGTGGAGCAAATATCCACCTGTGATGGAAGACCTCATGATGCAGCAGGTAGACATGCCCTGAAGCAAGCTGCATGGGCTCATGGAAAGCCTACACTGGAGCAGGCTACTGGCAGGAGCTGTGACCCATCGGGGAAGCACAGTGGAGCAGACCATTTCTGCAGGACTATACACTGTAGAAAGGACACCTGCTGGAACAGTTTTTGAACTGCAGCCTGTGGGAAGGACGTTGGTGAAGTACGTGAAGGACTGTCTCCTGTGAGAGGAACCCCACACTGGAACAGGGCAAAAGTGTAAGGAGGAAGGAGCAGCAGCAATGAAGCACTATAAACTGGCCCCAATTCCCATTCCCTGCCTCCTGCATACTTAGAGAGAAGGAAGTAGAAGACCTGAAAGTGAAGTTGAGACTAGGAAGGATGGAGAGGTGAGGTGAAGGTTGCTTTATTTCTCACTCCCCTACTCTGTTACAAAGTAATCAAAAATAAATTAAATTAATTTCCACAAGCTGAGCCTGGTTTACCCATGATGGTAATTTGTAAACAATCTCCCTGTTCTTATCTTAAGCCATGAGCTTTTTGTTGTATTTCCTTGCCATTTTCTGTTGATGGAGAGGGAGTGATGAAATGACTTAGTGGGCACCAGTGGCTGGCCAACCCAACACACAGAGTCAAATTCTTCAGCAGTTAGAATACCAGCAGTGATTTCCTCAGCCAGTATTGCAAAGGTGGACTCTTTCAGGTTAAAGCTGTAAATATCTACCTATTTTTAAGGCATGGGTGTGGGAAATCAGCAATACCAGGACCTTTGTTTCTGATCTCTTGCTGTTTTGTGCCTTTACTATGTTAACTAATCATGTGAAGGGGATAGAGTAATGTGCTCAGAGTGAGACCAACTTAACTGACACAAAAATATTTCTGAGACATTTCTGTTTCTGGTGTAACTGGTATTTAGGGCTCATCACAAAATTCCTTTGGGATACAACCATCCACCTAGATTAATAGGTCACAATCTCACATAAGGCTGTAAGTACCACCATGCTGTAAATTACTATTATCAGTGGTAAATATTAGCTGTCTAACAGTAAAAGAGTACTTGACTGTTATATGACAATAAAATGCAACACAAAAGTTACATTTCTCACATCCCGAAATACTGTTTAGTTCAAAAACACTAAAGAGGTCTGAATCTAAAGCAATATACTGGGAACAATGAAACAGCCTGTGTGATAGCTACAAGGGAAAAGGTTTATATTGCACAGGTAAATAAAAATATGTTTTATGGGCAGTTATTGTCAAATAATTCCCTTCAGAGTAATTTAGCCTTCATCATCCTGATACAAGCCTACAGAATAGTTAGGAAAAAGATCTGCTAGTGATAGTAAACATAATATAGCACACTATATTGATATTAGAAAAATTTAAGTAAATCTGTAACTGTTGAAAAACCTAGGCACTAGTTCAGACACGAGGTGTTCTGTAATTTCTAAGAACAGACATGGGGGGCTAGTGACAAACTGACACTGCTGAGTATCAAAGAGCAATGAAAATCGAGGACCACAATTAGAAGTGCTAGTATGTTAAAATCCACTTAGTGCTATGTAGACAAGTCATTAGAAATTACATATTAAAGGGGTCTCATAACTCCATCATGAAGGCCACTTCTTAATATGTAAAGGATGAGAAGTAGTAAAGTCAAGATTGCATTTTCTTCCTTTTCTATTCAGAAATATCCCAGCAACACAGGAGTATCTTACATGAGACAGATGACCAAAGACAATAACTGTAATTAAAGCGCCTGGTTACTTGCTGTCTTTTCAAAGAGAAGTTTGCTGCTGCCAACTGTCACAGCTGCCTGCTATTGACACTAGTAATGCTGACTTGAGCCAGGGTCCCGTAAATTACATTAACACTATCAGCTGGAGCTGAAATTTTCAAGGACGGTAGAAAAAGGAATGAAAGTATGGATCTGAGCTGAAGAATCCTGACAGCATTTCAATGAATGTATTTATTATTTAAAAAACTGTTAGTGTCATATAAAATCCTGTCACACACACACAATCCAATTTTCAGCAGCAATTTTGATTTCAGTTTCTCCCAAGATATCTTAATTCTGCCCTCTGCAGTGTGTTAATTTTTGATAGAACATGGTCTTTGACACTGATCTGAGGCAAACATCTGAAAAATAGGGTTTTTTTTCAGACAGGGTTTGTTTAAATTCTAATCTAACAAAATGACTGAGCACTTAAGTAGTAATATTTACTTCAGATTGTTCATCTATTCAAATATTCTGCTGCAACAGAAACTGTGTACTCCAACTGAAATACTTAGACATTAAGGAAATAGATTACTAAATAGTTTGTAAAGAAGGTATTATGCTCAACCATTTATGAATGAAAGTGCAGTACACATGTTGAATATTTGCTCTTTGATGTGTACAAGTAGCAAATTTACACTTCTAAGATTAGGACAATAAAAAGGAGCACATCCTCACATAGTTTAGTCTGAGCACTAAGTTAATTTCTAACTGTGAGCTTCCATTTATATTTTGTTGTACAGACTATTTATGTAAATCCTAGCATCTGAAAGCCTAGAATATTATCTAGAAATGCCATAATCAATTGAAAATATTAATTTATATTATTAGGGGATCATTACAGAATCAACTTATTAGGCTAGAGAACTCTAGCAGTGGATTCCTTAAACATATTGAACAGTGTCCAAAAAATACACTGACCCAGGTAAGTGTTATAGGAGCACTAGGCGTAGTTGAGTTCATTGTTGGTGTTTTAAATTCAGCTGAAAACAAAAAAACTTATTTTGTAAGCCATATACTGATGATGAAAGTTAATGTATTGCTGTGTTACCAAAAAAAAGTTCAGAGTATTATAACAAATGTATGGATATGTAAATCAATACAAAGACATTTTAAAAATATGTTTGGTTAATTTGACACCCCTTTCTTCTGTAATATCAGTTTATCAAATGAATTATACTATACCATGGAGCATAGAAATAACATGATATATCCAGAGGTGAATTAAGCATTCACTCTCTATGAATTTTTGTCAGTGTATATAGTTAGTTTTTGTGTTAGTGTTTTGTTAGTATATAGTCTTGTCTTGCCTTGCTTTTCTATCAGCTGATTTTTTAAATAAGATTGCTATATCAATGTTATGGTTAACTAAATGTTGATTAGTTCTTTAACTGTTTTGTTTTGACATGTTGAAATCTGTCTGTAAATCTGACATTTGTAAATTCACATTTCATTGATAAACTACTGGCAGGATATAGAAATTTTTTCCTAGACTAATTATATCATCTTTAATTCTGACAAAGAAGGCAGAGGAGCAATTCATCTTGAAAACCCAGTGTTCCTGAGTTAATGTAATGCCATCTACTTTCTACAGGTTTTAAGGATGATAATAAAGGGATTATATTTCTTCTATACACAGAGCTTTATTTCCCATTTATGTGCAGAGCTATAGTTGTCAATCAATTTCTGTCATACATCTCTAATATTATTCCATGGAAAAAGACTGAAAATCTGAGTGGAGATCTCTACATGCTTATCTAAATACACTTGAAAAAAAAAAAAAAAAAAAAAAAAAAAGTTTAATTAAATTTTAAGAGCGTAAATTCCTTAACAAAGTTTACATCTACTGAGTTGCACTAAACTGAAGTCTTCAAATATTGACTGTCTTGGTTTCTAAAGTATTTACATTTAACAAATTAATTATATTAAGTGACTTCCCCTTCCACTTACAAAATGCTAGGATGCTTCAATATATAAAACCGTTTCTTGAATATACGTTCAGTGCAAAGTCATTTGTTTATTTGTGCAGAGTGATTTGACTATTGAATTTCTCTCACTCAGCATACTAGGTACATTTATCAAACTACAGAAAGACATCCTCTGTTATTCTTGAGAGTAATATAATAGCAGTAGCCACAATATAGATTACAGGGCTATAGCTGAAAAGTTCCCTCCTGTTTCATTACTGTGGGATGTCTATAAACGTCAGGTAAGGAAGACTGGCAAGAAAATATGTGCAATTCTAAGTTCACGGGGGTTTAAAATTTGGTGCAATTGTACTGGTTATAACACAGGCAGTGCCAAGATGTAACTAATTTAAAGATTACATACTTGATAAGTTTTTCACCATATGTATTTATTCCATTAATGCAGTGGAGGGATTACTGAGAAACGCATCCAGGAAAGGACGTTGTTTCTGGGATTAGCTACCTTCGTATTTCTGTCTGGCCCTTTCAGATATACCAGGATGATCACACCTGTATTAAAAAAGAGCATGAGGAAGAGACACAAAGGGATTATATAGCATCAAGACCAATTTAGCATAAAGATTAAGATTCAGCAATAAGTAACTTGCATTCACACCTTCTGTCAATATAAAACCATTTTTGTTTTTACAACATCCCACTGGTATAAATAAAGAACACTTACAAGTTGACAAAGTCAGTATTGCTTACAGTCTCTCAGATGGAAGGACCAGAGGTAGGATCCCCAGCAAACCAGCTGGTTTCCAGGAAGAGTGATGCAACTCTGGCCCATCTCCTGGCATGCCATGCAAGTTTTGGTGTCAAGGACATGATGCACTCAAGATGTTTGGGGAATCCAGAAAGTGATGGCTGGTCCCAAAACTGCATATTGCAGTATACTTATTTTAAAGACTGTAATGTGTTTTCCCACAGAGTTATTACTGTGAAGTAATACAGGCAAACCCAAAAGCTTATGCTAAAACTAGAAATCTGAAATACATACCAAAATCACAATAAGTAAACAGCAGAATTTAAGCTTGAATGATAAGAGTATGAAAGATCTCTCAGTGGTCTGACCTCAGTGCCAGGGAAGGTCACGGAGCAGGTCATCTCGAGGGCCATTAAAAGTCATATAACGGACAACCAGGGGATCAGGCCCAGTCAGCATGGGTTTATGAAAGGCAGGTCCTGCCTGACAAACCTGATCTCCTATGACAAAATGACCCGACTGTTCAATGAGGGAAAAGCTGTGGATATTATCTACCTGTAATTTTGAAAACCATTTGACACAGTTCCCCATAGAATTCTCACAGAAAACTGGCTGCCCATGGCCAGGATGAGTGAACTGTCTGCTGGGTCAAGCACTGACTGGATGGACGGTCCCAGAGAGTGGTGAACAGTGGAGCTAAATCCAGCTGGGGGCTGGTCACAAGTGGTTTTCCTCAGGGCTCGGTGTTGGGACCATTTCTGTTCTACATCTTTATTGATGATCTGATAAGGACACGGAGTGTATCATCAGGAGTGGCTGGAGAGCTGCCAGTCAGAGAGGGACCTGGGGGGGTTGATTGACAGCCGGCTGAACAGGAGCCAGCAGTGTGCCCAGGGGGCCAAGAAGGCCAATGGCATCCTGGCTTGTGTCAGCAATAGCGTGGCCAGCAGGGACAGGGAAGGGATCTGACCCCAGTACTCGGCACTGCTGAGGCCGCCCCTCGATTCCTGTGTTCAGTTTTGGGCCCCTCACTACAAAAAGGACATTGAATGACTCGAGCGTGTCCAGAGAAGGGCAACGAAGCTGGTGCAGGGTCTGGAGCACAGGTCGTACGGGGAGCGGCTGAGGGAACTGGGGGTGTTTAGTCTGGAGAAGAGGAGGCTGAGGGGAGACCTCATCGCCCTCTACAGCTCCCTGAAAGGAGGTTGCAGAGAGCTGGGGATGAGTCTCTTTAATCTAGTAGAAAGCGACAGGACAAGAGGTAATGGCCAAGTTGCTCCAGGGAAAGTTCAGACTAGATATTAGGAAGCATTTCTTTCCAGAAGGGGTTGTTAGCTGTTGGAATGGGCTGCCCAGGGAGGTGGTGGAGTCCCTATCGCTGGAGGTGTTTAAGAGTCGGTTCGATTTGGAGCTTAAGGATATGCTGTAGATGGGAACGGTGCTAGGCGAACAGTTGAACTAGATGATCTACAGGGTCCTTTCCAACCTAGATGATTCTGTGAAAATTCTGTGAAAATTCTGTCCTGCACTTGGGCCACAACCACCCCCTGCATGGCTACAGGCTTGGGCAGGTGTGGCTAGAGAGCTGTCTGGAAGAGAAGGGTGTGCGGATTCTCATTGGCAAGCAGCTGAACATGATCCAGCAGTGTGCCCGGGTGGCCAAGAAAGCCAACGGCATCCTGTCTTGTATCAGAAATAGTGTGACCAGCAGAAGTAGGGAGGTGATAGTCCCCCTGTGTTCTGCACTGGTGAGGCCACACCTGGAGTATTGTGTCCAGTTTTGGGCACCTCAATACAAGAGAGATATCGAGGTGCTGGAGCGAGTGCAGAGGAGGGCAATGAAGCTGCTGAAGGGCCTGGAGAATAAATCCTATGAGGAGCGATTGAAGAAGCTGGGACTGTTTAGTTTGAGGAGGAGAAGGCTGAGGGGAGACCTCATCACTCTCTACAACTCCCTGAAAGGACATTGTGGAGAGGTTTTTGCTGGTCTCTTCTCACAGGTGATTAGTGACAGAACAAGAGGGAATGGCTTTAAACTGCAACAGGGGAGGTTCAGACTGGACATTAGGAAAAAATTTTCTCAGCAAGAGTGGTCAGAGAGTGGAATAGGCTGCCCAGGGAGGTGTTGGAGTCACCATCCCTGGATGTGTTTAAGGGTTGTTTAGATGAGATGTTGGGGGATGTGGTGTAGGGGAGAACTTTGTAGAGTAGGGTTGATGGTTGGACTCGATAATCCCAAGGGTCTTTTCCAGTTTGAATGATTCTATGTTTCTATCATTCTATTATCCACCCATAATAAACATAAATACACTAATAGTAAATGGCATCTCTTATTAAAAGTCATGAGGTAAAATACATTATAGGAAGCCTAATCACACAGAATAAATTCCACTATAGAATGTGTCACTTGGGATGTTTTCGTTTTTTATTCAGAGTTGTGTCTCTTAGACCTTGATGTACTTAACATGACAGAACAAACTATCTTCTCTCTACTGTGAATTATTTCTTGTATTAGAGGTAAAACTGGGCTGATACAGGGTCAAAATCTCATGTAATCTTCAGAATCATAACTCTGCTGCCCTAAGGGACTTGCTTTATTGGCACAAACTTTTCCCGTTAATATATATGTGATATTTCTTTCCCCAGGGTTATTTAATCTATTTGCTTTTTTCCTCTTCCTTCTCTTGTTTTTTTTTATTTCTGTTGGTTTCTGGACAGATGGGCACTGCAGCTCTTCATGTGTTCCTGCAGATTGAGAAAAATGAACTCCCTGATAAGTGTTAAACACCTTAATCTAACAAACATCAGGCTGAATATTTTCATTAGCCACAACTGCTGTCTCTCGATTTCCTAACAATCTTCTTCCCTCACTGCTTGCATGGTATCTGCAGCCATACTCCAGCCATAGCATAGGTGACTAACTAGAGGTGGCATGGCTAAAAACACAGCATGCTCAGAAGCACTATGAGCAACTTGTACTACTTTCGGCTGTTTCAATTCTGTCAGCCCAGCTGTAACTATGTCAGGTGCTCTGGTACTTCCCACACACTGCAAGAAAGACAAAAAGATGGAACGTCACAAGAAAGCAATTTAGTGAGAGCAGTTCACTCTCACTTGCTAGCACAGGTTGCTCAAGAACTACAAAAGACTGGTATATTAATCAGTATGACAGCACTTTAGCTGGCTACAAAGACATACATAAAATTTAAGTATTTGGTTTAATTGCTTTCCATTTATTTCTCAGCTAGGGTGTTTTACAGACACTTCACTGGACACTGAAACTAAATCATTGTGATCATCATAAAGTTCCTTCTGCTTTCAATGTACTACACTGTAGATAAAACTGAGTCAGTCAGCCCATAGCTGTTCTTTGGAAATAATTGACTTCTTTCTTGTTTAAGGGAAGACAAGCAAGCTACTATTAAATCTTGTCAGTAGTGAGAAAATAAATGGAGTTTTCACTTCTAGTGCATTGCCTTGTTTGCTCAACATCTACTTCATAAGAAACTGAAAATGACAGCCATAAGAAACATTATTTTTCAACTACACAGACCTGTTCTTTTAATAATGAATGAGGGCCAGGAAAGGCAACAAAAGGAATACCCTGTTTCAACTTCTCTTTACATTCTTTTACCAGCATAGACAAAACTTCCTGTAAATTTTGAAAAGAAATCCTGGAAAGGTCTCCCAGACCTCCCTCTAAGAGAATGTAATTAGTTTTCACCTAACAGTAAACTCTCTCTCAAAGTGCTTATACATGAGAAGAAACATCAATATCTTTACTGGGAAAACAAAGACACAGATGTGTGTTGACATTCTTGCAACTTAGTGACAGATCAGGAACAAATCTTTTACCTGCCATTATCAGATTTTATCCATCCAAAATTATAACTTTCAGACAACAAGAGAATTTCAGATCTCTCTTGTTATACCTATTTTCTACAGCAGTTCTTATGAAGGGCTGGTACTCTACAGATGCCCCTTGGAGACTTAATCGTACTTACAGCTAATCATTTTCATTACAACACAGAATTATTTTTCCTGGTCTCAGCCTTAGATCCTCCATTGTATATTCCATTTACTTTAAGAAGGGTATATTTTGACTGCTGTCGCCAAGTTAGGAGATTACCTTTATATTGTATTATATATAAAAAAGTGACCATTGAACTGTTCTCAGAACAGGTAATTATTTAGCTGGGAGACATGCTTCTAAGAGCTTACATTTCTTAATCTAATTTCTTGTCCTCCCTCTCTTCAATTTATTAGACCTCACAGGTATTTTTTATTAGGCTAGGAGGTACCAACAGCAATAATTTTCTTTTTAGTTTCTTCTAAGGCCAACTTCTCTCATTATATTTTCTGTAAATGTCTTGCCATCCCACTTCCTTATGTATAAGTGAAATGCTAAGGCTTGGAAAATAGGCCCAAACCAGAGTTGACCTATAGATGAATCCTCTATATTTTATAACTTATAACCATTGTGCTAGTAGTAGGTATTGTACTAGGTTATAACAAACCACCTATACTGATGTAAAAAGTGCTAAAATGTTGAAGTATTGAAGCTTGAGCAACAGGCTCTGAGCCAAAGCTGCTAACTTAGTATGGAGTCATTAACAAAATATGTATGTTCATTAATGAAAGATGTAGCTTAGATATCATATACTCATTACTGGTGATCGATGTAATGCAACCCTGTCCATCCTGAATGTATCTTTCTTCTTTTTTTGCTTAGAGACAAGTTAACAAAGCCATGAAGCCAGATGTCCAGCTTTGGGACCAGACGTGTGACCTTGTTCTAAAAAGAACATAAATAAATTAGATAAGCAGGGAAACTCCTTTAGCTTCTCCCTTGAGCCCTGGCCAGGCTCTGGGGAATCTAATGTGAGAGTGAAACCAGATATTTCCACTTAAAACAAAGGTGCCAGCTCTTCTGGCTTGCCGATTTTGGAGTATATAAGGCTGGACTCACTCACAGCGACTTTGGAAGCCTCACCTACAGGTGGACGCACCGCGTGGGATTTCCCACTGGTGAATTGTTTTTGAAATGGTCAGATATTTTGAACAGCTAGGCAGTATAGCAGCTACCACACCTCTTCTCCTCTTCTCTCCTCTTCTCTTCTCTTCTCTTCTCTTCTCTTCTCTTCTCTTCTCTTCTCTTCTCTTCTCTTCTCTTCTCTTCTCTTCTCTTCTCTTCTCTTCTCTTCTCTTCTCTTCTCTTCTCTTCTCTTCTCTTCTCTTCTCTTCTCTTCTCTTCTCTTCTCTTCTCTTCTCTTCTCTTCTCTTCTCTTCTCTTCTCTTCTCTTCTCTTCTCTTCTCTTCTCTTCTCTTCTCTTCTCTTCTCTTCTCTTCTCTTCTCTTCTCTTCTCTTCTCTTCTCTTCTCTTCTCTTCTCTTCTCTTCTCTTCTCTTCTCTTCTCTTCTCTTCTCTTCTCTTCTCTTCTCTTCTCTTCTCTTCTCTTCTCTTCTCTTCTCTTCTCTTCTCTTCTCTTCTCTTCTCTTCTCTTCTCTTCTCTTCTCTTCTCTTCTCTTCTCTTCTCTTCTCTTCTCTTCTCTTCTCTTCTCTTCTCTTCTCTTCTCTTCTCTTCTCTTCTCTTCTCTTCTCTTCTCTTCTCTTCTCTTCTCTTCTCTTCTCTTCTCTTCTCTTCTCTTCTCTTCTCTTCTCTTCTCTTCTCTTCTCTTCTCTTCTCTTCTCTTCTCTTCTCTTCTCTTCTCTTCTCTTCTCTTCTCTTCTCTTCTCTTCTCTTCTCTTCTCTTCTCTTCTCTTCTCTTCTCTTCTCTTCTCTTCTCTTCTCTTCTCTTCTCTTCTCTTCTCTTCTCTTCTCTTCTCTTCTCTTCTCTTCTCTTCTCTTCTCTTCTCTTCTCTTCTCTTCTCTTCTCTTCTCTTCTCTTCTCTTCTCTTCTCTTCTCTTCTCTTCTCTTCTCTTCTCTTCTCTTCTCTTCTCTTCTCTTCTCTTCTCTTCTCTTCTCTTCTCTTCTCTTCTCTTCTCTTCTCTTCTCTTCTCTTCTCTTCTCTTCTCTTCTCTTCTCTTCTCTTCTCTTCTCTTCTCTTCTCTTCTCTTCTCTTCTCTTCTCTTCTCTTCTCTTCTCTTCTCTTCTCTTCTCTTCTCTTCTCTTCTCTTCTCTTCTCTTCTCTTCTCTTCTCTTCTCTTCTCTTCTCTTCTCTTCTCTTCTCTTCTCTTCTCTTCTCTTC